TAATTATCTTGGCCGCCATTACTATAATAAAAATGTTAAAATTTCTTTAGTTAGTAGATTTAGTAGCTTTATTAGATTTCATTCGTTTTGTACCCAATTTGTATTAGTATTCCAATTTCCACTATAGGGATTGATAAATGATGCAAGTTATCTTTATTTTAACGTAATACAACTGATAAATAATTAAAGAAAAAGTTTTTTTTTATAATATTCTATTATTTATACCGTATTTTAGCCTATATACTATTTTACCAAATCTGATAAACATAGCAAACAAACGATAGAAAAAACTGATATTACCTACTTGCATCGAAATTACTGTCAATTAGTGAAATTGTTTTCAAATGTCATTAACATAAATGTGTTGCATACCGTACTTCGATTGAAAAATGTAGTAAATCTAGCAGCACTAACAAATATGCACAATTATAAATTATACCAATTATATAATTGTTGATTCTGCTAAATAGCTGATGCAGTCGAGTTAATAATTTTCTACAACAGTGAGCACATAACGCATGCATTAAGTTAAACTAGACAAAAGTTTTGCTAAATATCTATTTTCAATCAATAAAATGTACGATACCTTATGATCTAGGGCATCAAGTTTTAAATATCAAGAAAATCGTACATAATTTTATGCTTTTAAATTAGAGCGTAAAAAAAGAGTCAGAAAGTTCACGAGACTAACTGATAGCGTGAAAATGAGACATAGAAGAATTATTTAACGGTACTATATATATAATGTCAGTGCTAATAATGGTAGCAGAAAAAGTCGGCTTATCGTGAGTTAATATTGCTATTCACTAAGTAAATTATCGTTTGTAAAGACTATAGCTACAATATATAATTAGACGGAATTAGATTTATGGACAATGCAATTAATGCAATTGTCGATATAAAATAGTGTGTGTGCTCAGTTAAAGTAGTTGGTACTCTACTGATATACTCTGAGACTTGCAGACCTTGCCTGATCTTACGTACCTAACTGTGCGTTGCTATTAGTAAATTATGCGATGTATTCCCAGTAGATGACCGACTGGACCCGATTCTATTCTCACTATTCTTACTTTTGTTACCTAATGCAGTTTCTTATTGAACGCGATCGTTGTTGAATCTAACATAACCACTAAATCTACGAACCGAAAAACTTTAAGGGCTTGTCCCGGTAATACTAATGTAGAATGATTAAATAAGATAAATACTATAACTCTGTAAGTAAAAGTTTCTTCAGAATGATTCTGTAGAAGAATTTTACTCGTAATACGCCCGTGAAAGTATAATGATAAAATTATCAGCGATACAGAAATATCAAAGTTATATCTAGAATTCCATGGAAAGCATTCTATCATACGCACAGTAACTGCTCGGAGGCCCCAATTATAAATATAATGTATTCAACGATTATTCTAGAGTTTTCTCTTATAAGTAAAACGAGATTTTTTTAATAGGACTGAAACAATAAGGACAGCAAAAGAAGAAAAAATGAATGAATAAACGATAGTGAATTTACGACAACTACCGGTATGACTAGATGGTACAATTATTAGCGTTTTGAATAGGTTGCATATATGTGTTTAAACGTGACAATAATTGGCATACTTCTGATTTATATTTTTATTTGGCAATCTCATTTGTTTAGCTATCAATTGTCACTAATGAATTATGTAGTGTATTCCCGGTGGAAATCTATTCTAGGTTATGCTATCGTCGGCTTATTATTTTTTCATTACCTGATATGGTTACTTATTAGGAATAGTAAAATTAAAATATTAATTCATTGGACAGGGCCTTGTAAACATCTACATCATTAGAAGAAGTGAATTGAAATACACTTGATGCATTACTGTTTATTGTAGTATGCGAGTATATGGATTTATATTTGAAGTTTAGCTTACTGCCATTGTGCAATAATGTTGAGAAGAAACCAATAGCTTTTATGAGAATTTTCTAATATTTTTACCGTATCTGTATAGCACTTATTAACCCTTACAGTAAAACTTGGAATACTTTTAAAAATTGGATACAAAACAAATTAATCCAATTAAGCAACGAAACCTACTAACTGAAAAAATTTTTTAATTTAGAAAACTTTATTACAGTAATGGCGACGCAGACGACTAACGGCATGATCACTATATCACCTTAAAGAAAATAAATTCTGAATGAATAAATATAGCATTATTACGGATTGCTATCGCCTTCTATTACCTTATTACATGATTCTATGTAATCTGATCTGTTGGTATACGTTACTAGTTCTGTTATATATCAGATCAATATACGCCTGGGTAGACAAGACTTTGGGAGAACTAATAAGATAGATATTGATGTGGAAGCATAGCTGCTAGTCTCATTCCAGTTATCTGAGAGTTTTAAGTCATTTATACGCTATCAATCTATTATACGTATATAGAACAATTTTATTCGCATTATATACAAAAGTTCATCGTGTACGCTACATAACAGTACTCTCTTGACAACAGCTAGAGTACAGTGTTGCATCTGCTTAAAGTTGCTAGTTCCAACTACTACTTTCGTCTTGGCCGAGCGTTACCCTTCAAGATTACTATCATGAAGACAAACGTCACAACTTTGAGCTACTTTAACTTTTACTTCAAAGTAATACGTTCTACGCTATTGCTACTCGTATAAACTGTAAAAACGATTTATAACGAAGAATCATTCCTAATTACAAGCTAATCTCACAAATTTATCAGCCTAGCCTATACAGCATAGACATAAATGTACCACGAAGTTTAATCTACTCTACTATTCACGGCGCTTAATTGCATGGTGACAATTGTTGACACTAATTTGCAATTAATCTTAAATGTATAGGCGAGATCATTTAGTTTATTAATTTTAATAGCTAGACTCTTTTAATTTTAGAGTTATAGCTGAACACCCGATTGTTCCATAATTGCATTGTCTAACAATGAATTACGAGATAAGTAACTAAGTTATTGGATCTATTTGAGGAATAAGTTGCAAGTTTAAAATCACGATCTTTTAATATTAGAGCATGAATACGATTTAAAAACTTAAGCTATTTGAAATATCGCAATATATATTTTACTATTCAATCAAATGTATCAACCAATAGTATTACAAAGCTGAGTTATTCCGCTTTGGCTAACTGAAATAATTAGAAAAATATTTTATAAATTTATAGGATATGATTACAATAGAAAAATTTAAAAGTGATGTAACACGTTTAAAGGTGTCACGGTATCATTTACCACACTGAGTTAGATTAATTAATTAACTATTTTTATTTATTAGAAATTGAGACGTTTATGTGGTAGTGGATTGTGTTGCGGTGTTTGTTAGTAGGGTAGTAGATCACAGTTGAGAAATCTCCTGTGTGAGATTCAGAGTAAATAACAAATATCTGAGAAAGCTACTGCTAATAATTATATAATAAAATTTATAAGCAAATGCGTTTGGTAACAAAAGTAAGAATAGCGAGAACAGAGTTCGACTCAGCTGTGTACCGGTATCTATAATAATATCTTCTTTAAGTAGCGTAAAGTATTTTAAGGTAGACGATGATAGAAGGTATAAAGGATTTTATTGAGATACAAGTTACAGGCTAACAATGATATGGTTGTTATAGATAAGGTATTGGAGATAGCAGGAACGTAGGAACTGACTAACGAGTTAGCGTACAAGGGTATTTATAGGTTTTAGATGAGATTGAGATAATGTCTTTATATGTATAGCATGTCGTCTATATGTCGTCATGATGTCGTACATTATGAATGTACAGTACTTAATGGTATATGATAAGTGTTCGTATATTAGGATATTACTACACTAGGCATCTTCTATATTAGATCATAATGTTACATATCCTCATAGGAATACATCATATCCTTTATTGACGGTAAAGCACGGCTAAGTGTGTAAGGTCAGCTATATATGAATCCATATCCATAGTACGCCAACTACTTTAATTAAGCATACAGAATATATTGTGTGGACAATAGTGTTAATAAAAATATTGTTTATGAATCACATTGCATCTAATTATGTATTGTAGCTATAGTCTTTACAAACAATAATTTACTTTGTAGATAAGCGACATAATTCATTACTATCATTACAATCTCACTTTTTCTGTAAATCATTAAAAACACGGTTATCAAGTAAAAGTCGTTCTTCTATTTTTCATTTTTCGCTATCAGTTAGTCTCGTCAACATTCTAACTCTTTGTTTATTACAAGATTAATAGTAGTATCGAGTACTCGCACTTCGATATCAAAGATTAATGTAAGTAATTATCATGGTCTCTTTCTCAGTAATTAACAGTCTGCTGTCTCGACGTGCGGTTAAATATTCCTCTTCGATCGTACTTCGACGCCCATATTGGTTATCGTCTAAATTGTATTATTCTATACAAGTCGAAAATCGAGTTCAAGATAAGCTAGTATCTGTAAAGTGGGATGATGGTAAAATTACAGATTATCCTCATGTTTATCTTCGCGATAATTGTCGATGTCCGTCTTGTTTCGATCCTCAAGCGCAACAACGTATCATCTCGAATCCTATCTATCATAACTATACTGATGCAATAGTAAAGACAGCTTGTATGAACGAGAATAAGGATAAATTACATCTAGAATGGATAAACGACGGCGAGCATACGTCTAGTGTGTTTGAATTAGATTGGTTAAAAGCTCATCGATTTACTGGAGATGACAAAAAGGATGTACATCCAATTAAAAGACAGTTATGGGGTAGCGAAATACAAAACGACATACTGCAATTTCATTTTGATCGGATTTTAAACGATAAATCAGAACTATATCGATGGCTACGATGTGTAATGGAAAGGGGTATTGCGTTAATAGTCGGCTTACCTAAAAGAGCCGGTCAAGTAGAGAAAGTTGCAGCAAAAATAGGTCATCTTCGCGAGACGATTTATGGGTAAGAATAAATAAATCAGCGTTATCAATATACAGTGGTATAAAATGGCCGAGAGAAGATTCCGTACACTTCTATACGCTGTATTATTATAAAATTTATGTTTACTGTGTTACAGATAGCATGCTATTTTTCATTTTAATGCTCAGCATATGTTCGTAGTTCATAATATAGTCATCTGTATATGCGCATTATATAGCACTTGATCAATTAATAAACCGTATCATTCTGATCTTTAGACCTACTTTCCATAGCCAAAGTAAAGGTGATCATGTAACAACTGTTGCCTACAAGAGCGGCGGTCTGGCATTGCATACTGATTTCCCCTATTACAACAACATTCCTGGGGTAATTATAAATTATGAAAAATTCTTACCTTGTATCTGCCTTGATAATTGAAATACAGATACGGATGGTAATTTCTTTACATTCCATATCGATACTAGTAGATTACTCGTTTAAATGAACGGAAACATACGTATATCTGTACAAAGTCATACATAAGAAGAAAATTCATAGCTGGATTTTCTTACTATATATGCTTCCAAGATAGAGCTATTTTTAAATTAATAACTACAGTATATCTGCCAGAGACAGATTTTAGCGTGATTTAAAAAAGCGCTAAAACAGAGAGTATGCGAAAATCTGGATGTAATTGTGCTTAATAAATCAAATATTCTTGAGAATTATTTTATAGTATTTACATATAGTAACGTAGCTTAAGCGATATCGTATTTCTCGCTAGTTTTACAGACGATAGAGATTTAGCGTATTAGTAGCTACAACGCTCTATGAGTAAGACATATTTGCTATCTGTAGTAGTTAAAATACAACTTTAAGAACTGCTACTTTAAAGTTAATATTTCAGCTATTGTCCACGTTACGGTACTGTTAATTAACTTACATTAACGAGAATATTTCGCTGCCTATGCTAGAAAAAAATGTATTCATATTCGCATACAGCGTATTACTTTGTGCCCTTGTAGCTTTGATCGAATATCGAATTCTATGTATAAGGCAATGTCATAAAGACTAATATTTTATTTATACTTGCAAGATAAAATCATGTGGTTACTATTTTAGAATTGAATTACTACGTGACTGTACTCATAATTAATGAAAAGAGTTAAAATCAGTTTTGTAACTTCTGAATCGACGCCTAACTTAGTTATAGATTATCTGAAGATAATTGATTAATTTACTTATATCTCACTGGCATTAACTAACTTTTTATTGATTGTATGAATTAGATATTCATGCTGCATTGTGTAACAGCAGCTAAGCAAGGAGGCGACAGCCAATTTACGGACGGATTTAAAGCTGCTGAGCAATTGAGGGCCAGTCATCCTCAATATTTTAAAATATTAGCGGAAACTCCTGTTGAGCACGAAGATACTGGCACTGACTCTTATGAATTCAGTCTTACGGCTGAACATCCAATTATTCGGTAATTGCAATATGTAACAATAAACTACGATATAAGTAGCTATGGTAGTTATCGAATCTATTTGATAAATAACTTACAAGTTTAAAATTAAGATCTTTTAGTAACGGTTTAAAAACTGAAGCTATTTGATATATCACAAAGTATATTTCACTCTTAAATCAGATTTATTCAGCTAATAGTATTACAAAGCTGATTTATTCTACTTCGGTTCTCTAAAACAATCAATAATACTTCACAACAGTAACCTTATTAACTTATGTAAACATATAGATTAAATGAAAATGGAGATCTTAAACAAATTTACTATGGCGATCATACACGAACTTCAAGAATAGATGTGCCTCATTATAAATTGACAGACTTTTATAATGCTATGACGCAATTTTTAAGATATGCTTACAGTCCGGCTAATATTATACAATTTAAGCTGCAACCTGGAACCTTGATTTCTGTCGATAATTTTCGTGTTTTGCATGGTAGAACGGCTTTTGACGTGTCTCCAGATAATTTTAGACATGTTGAAGGTGGACACGTTGATTGGGATGGAGCAACATCTTGTATGAGAGTACTAGAGAAAGAACTTAACATAGATTATAGAACTCCTAACATTTAGTTTATTACTTTTAATGGCTAAAATAGTGTGTTGCTTGGGAAACAATAACTCTATATGGATTTTAACAATTAACTATCATTAAATTCTAACATGTGCATACCGAAGGTTGGAAGTTCTGGTACACTTTTATTATATCTATGACATTATTTATATCCATAGACTTTATTTGGTAAATACTGCGTGTGTTAAGAATTTGATGCAGAGATTTATTAACCTTTAATGTAGAGCTTAGAATATTATTAAAAATTGTGTGTAAAATGTATTATCTTATTAAGTAATTCAGCCTTCTAAGTGAAGAAGTTTTAAAACTTTAAAACTTTGCAATAGTTATATAGGAAATAAATTCAAAATGAATGTAATCTTGTAACGAATCACAAGCACCCTCTATTACCATGCCGTATGATTATATCTATCTATGATCAGTTGCTATACACCGCTAGTTCTTTTACATATCATTATTTAGAAAAAGTCACTTCGTAAAAAGCATTTAGTGTAAGTAACTGTGATTACTTTTGCTATAACTTGTTTACGTATAAATTGGAATTAGCCATCGGATCATTGACCATGATAACTTTTGTATAATCTAAACACTACATTTATGTTTCAAGTCAGTAACATGGCTTACTTGGGTAAAAGTTTTATCATGCCATGCCGATATTGTTCATCAAATTATTGTTCTAATCTGGACTACTCTTCAACAATTTCACAATTGTTACATTATACATGGCAATGTAGAAGAAACATTGGAAGATCACTATTTCTCAGTGACTATTAAATGTCATATTAAATCACCATTACAAGTCATCCATTAATTCCAAATAATGATACCCATCTGTCTATTACATGAAATACCAATAGTAAAATTAAGAATACTGTACACCTTTATTCGACAATATCTTATTTAAAACAAGTTTATAATTTAGTTTCATTCTGTGCTCAATTAACCTTATATATCTAATTTAAACCGTGAACATGCATCCCAATTAGCACTGACGCCAAAATTACATTTAGTGCCAATTGAATTTGTCATCAGCTATTGAATTTTAATAAAGAAGTGCTGCTTGCTTTCTACGCTGAGTTACTGACTATCTCAATTAGCAAGAAAGGTATTAATTATAGATAAGTTATCTATACTGTGCACATTTATCCTATAATATGTCCGGTGATGTAATTTTGAATTATTATTTAATTAATGCTTTGTTAAAATAAAATCGTAATAAATTGTTTTCATTTCGCTAATCTAAAGCTGTTTTGTAATTGGATAGAATTCAATGTCAGCACAAGCGATGGATAGATGAGCTTTTAGCTGATTTAATTGAAAATTATGTTATCTTAGTTATAAATTTTGTAGGTGGCTGTATATTTAAAAACGCTTGCAACATAATTCATATTAATTCTGAGTTTTCTGACACTATTACAAGCAAAGCGAATGCTATAACATCTTTTAATGTTTTTATTTCAAATTTTCGAATAAAATTTTCCAACTTTTCGTTCGTCGTAAGACTGATAAGATAATCAGAACAAAATATAATATCCGTAATTTGATATTATCTTAAAAATCGCTATATTCTCTCTTATAATAATCAATACTTTACTGTCTCAGACTGAGATATGCCATCAGACGTTTCTCTCCCAACTTAATTTGACACGCATACGGGCTATCTCCTAAGTTACGTATGTTATTCCGTACAAGTCAAAAATCGAGCTCGAGATAAACTGATTTGCAACACGGAACGATGGCACAACTACAAATTATCCCATATCTAATTTCGTGATAATTTCGTTATCAATCTTATTTCGATCCTCAAATTCGATATTGTTCTATCTCTAATAATGTGGATCATGGTTATGCTAAAGCAGCAATAAAGACAGACCGAGTAGATGAAAAAAGAGTGGATTATTCCTAGAATGGATAAATGATGGCAAATATACAACTAGTAACTTTCAATTAGATTGCTTAAAGGCTCATCGATCAGTCTCTAATAATAATGATATTGGAGTCAATCCCATAACGAAATAGCTATAGTGTTGAGATGCTAAACAACATGCCATAATTTGATTTTGACAAAACATTACATTAATTGATAACTCAGAATTGTGTCGATAGGGGTGAATTATGTCAGAGGATGTCAGTCAACTAGCGAGATTTTCAAAACGGATTGCAATATTTTCATGACGTTTTCAGGTAAATAACGCTAGAATAATACCATTTGCGATTAAATATTAAGTAATTCAAAGTGAATAATGAAAGATTTACGATTGTCCTGAAAGCAAGATCATGCCTAAATATTCAATTAACAATAGCGGTATACTGGTACTTAAACATGAGTAAGTATGCGTATTAATTGATTAACCGACACAGTACTCATTGCGTTTATAGTATATCGTTTTAAGTGCATACTAAAAGTGACAATGTTACAACTATAGCCTTAAAAAGTAGAGGATTAGCTATGCGTACTGATCTAGTGTATTATAATCTAGTGATATTATGTTAACATTCTAGGGTACTAACACATAGCTATTAATAATTACTATCATGTTCCTTCAACTAGTAATATCGATGTAAATATTGAGTATATATATATATATGGGAGATATTTCTTGGCTAGAAAGTTAGTTAGAGCTTAGAATTAGATTCGTGTGTTGTATTATTTTCTTGTTTTAGACTAGCTTGCGCGAGCCTACAATATCTAAACTCCAATAAAGCAGACTTTTTCTTTACTCATTTAGTCTAACTTTATTGTGAGTTGCAGCAGTAGAACAGAATAAGATATAATTGACCTTATTAAACACATTGATACAATTGGGGTTTCATATGTTATCAGAGTTGTTTACTAGAGTGGTTTTTGATCTTAGTATATTATATATTTACCAAACAATAACTTGTTATAGTAAAACTTGAATACCTAGTTAAGTAATCTTTAGGTACTGATTTAAACAATAATTTTAATGCCATATTTATTAGTTAAGCTACTTCCGCAAACATAAATCCTTAAATGGTGTAACTTACCATAGCAAATAAGATATTTAATGAAAATTTAAATAGATTTGAAATCTAAATATATCACTGCATGTAAAAATCGAGAGGTTGTACTTAATCCTTCTATAATACAGGTCTTTCATACAGTGGTAGAAATATTTAGATTCCCGTGTATTTGTATAACGTATTGATACTACATGCACTGTAAAATACCCTAGTATTATTGCAAATTTTACTTGTGAGATATTGTCAATTACCTTTAGCATTAGTACTAAGGTCTTACTGTTTATCAAAATGCCACTATTAACTAGAATTAATTATTGTAGTATCACACCAGAGTCGATACTATCATGGACTTTATAAATTAGATGGTTTTGCAACATTGTATAAGGGCAGCAAACAAAAAAGTATAAGTTAATAAACCAACGGGTTTAAGGCTGCTGAACAATTAAGAACCAGTCATCCTAAATATCAGAAAATATCCCATTCAATATGAAGATACAGGAAGAGATGTCAGTCATTTCGATTTCAATCTTATAGCTTATCATTCTTTAGTTAGATATTAACATACATTTGATTACTAAATTGATAGTTTGTCTATACTATATAGTTAATGGGCTAAAGTACGTAAATGAAGATAACTGATTGTTCAAGTTAATTAACTTTTAATGAATTGAATACGTAGCATAATCAATTCCGTCGATTCTCAAGTATCTATCATCATGAATTTTCATATGTAGAAAGAATAAAATTTTCTGTATACATTAACTCGTAATTAATTTTCCTTACAAGGGTGTAATGTTTGTCTTGCTTACTCCGCATTACTTGAGGTAAAACGAAATTCTAATTTCTTCGTCAGTGATTGTAGTGCATGAGTTCTTAACTTGACACATAACTACATCGATTAGCTGAAATTACTACAGTGATTTAGCTATTGATTATACTTCGCTGAATATCTCAGCTTTCGATAGTTACCTTTGCTCGTTTTTTTCAATAAGTAAACGAAAATTTATAAAAGGTGACGATTAGCGAATAATGTCTATTATTTACAGTAACACTACTCGAATGGCTACAGTATTACCGTGTTCTAGTAGGAAGATAATCTTTAAAAATAAGACCTATAGTAATTACCATAATATTATGATGTGGTCAGACATTTTTACTCAACTTAATGTATTTGATATAGTGAATGGATTTATTATTCCTAAGGTTCACAACCCGCTAGTTCAAAAATTGAGTTATTAATACAGTGTAAATCCCTATTAGAACAAATACACCGTTTCATCATAGCAGCCATCATCTACAGATACTCTATTAAGTGCAGCAGACTTACTCTACAGTAAATCACATAGCGCTTTGCTTTATGTTACTATTTCCTTTTTTAAAGCACATTACTACTGTTATTAACTGAAATTACTAGGATTAATATGAATAGTGAGTACTGGCACCGTATAGAAAATCCGTAATCTAATATAACTACTAATATCAATAAAATATATATATAAGCAAACGTATTAGTTAACAAAAGTAAGAATACCGAGAACAGAGCCCGACTCAGTTGAGTACCCATGTAGGAATACAGCACATAATATATTGGCGGCAATGCTCGGCTAAGTGTGTATGATCAGCTAGTATGAGCGCATATCTGTACTATGCCAACTGCTTTAATCAAGATATACAATATATTATGTTTACAATTGTGATACTTAATTATATTGTTTACGAATCACATTGCATCTAATTATGTATTGTAGCTATAGTCTTTACAAACAATAATTTACTTTGAGGGTAAGCGACATAATTCATGGCGATCCTACTTTTTCTTATATTATTAAAAATACTAGCGTTAAGTGTACCTTATTATTCTATGTTTCAATCTAGGTTATCAGTTAGTCTCGTAAATATTCTAACTCTTTGTTTATTACAAGATTAATAGTAGTATCGAGTACTCGCACTTCGATATCAAAGATTAATGTAAGTAATTATCATGGTCTCTTTCTCAGTAATTAACAGTCTGCTGTCTCGACGTGCGGTTAAATATTCCTCTTCGATCGTACTTCGACGCCCATATTGGTTATCGTCTAAATTGTATTATTCTATACAAGTCGAAAATCGAGTTCAAGATAAGCTAGTATCTGTAAAGTGGGATGATGGTAAAATTACAGATTATCCTCATGTTTATCTTCGCGATAATTGTCGATGTCCGTCTTGTTTCGATCCTCAAGCGCAACAACGTATCATCTCGAATCCTATCTATCATAACTACGCTAATGCAACAGTAAAGACAGCTTGTATGAACGAGAATAAGGATAAATTACATCTAGAATGGATAAACGACGGCGAGCATACGTCTAGTGTGTTTGAATTAGATTGGTTAAAAGCTCATCGATTTACTGGAGATGACAAAAAGGATGTACATCCAATTAAAAGACAGTTATGGGGTAGCGAAATACAAAACGACATACCGCAATTCCATTTTGATCGGATTTTAAACGATAAATCAGAACTATATCGATGGCTACGATGTGTAATGGAAAGGGGTATTGCGTTAATAGTCGGCTTACCTAAAAGAGTCGGTCAAGTAGAGAAAGTTGCAGCAAAAATAGGTCATCTTCGCGAAACGGTTTATGGGTAAGAATGAATACAACTAGCGTTATCTATATAGTATCAAATTGACGAAAGAAGATTCTATTTACTGCTATACGCTGTTTTATTATAAAATTTATGTTTACTGCGTTACAAATAGCATGCTATTTTTCATTTTAATGCTCAACACATTTTCGTAGTTCATAATATAGCTACCTACGTATGCGTAATATGTATGTATTTGATAAATTACTAAACCGTATCATTCTAATCTTTAGATACACCTTTCATAACCAAAGTAAAGGTGACCAAGCAACAACTCTTGCCTATAGAAGCGGGGGGCTGGCATTGCATACTGATTATACCTATTACGACAACATTCCTGGGGTAATTATAAATTATAAAGAATTCTTACCTTTTGTCTGCCTTGATAATACGAATGTGAATATCAGTTTCTGTACATTCTTTATCAATATTACGCTAGAATTATTCTTGAATCAATAAACATATCTGTAAGAGACAGATTTGAGCACGATTTATTAGAGTGAGTACAGTAGAAAATACACGAAAATTTGTACGTATTTGTGTTTAAATCAAGTAGTAGCGAAACTTGACCTAAGCGACGTCGCATTCCACGCCTATGTTACAAAAAAAATTACTGATATTCGCATACAGTGCATTATTTAGTACCTTTACAGAATTGATCTGACATCGCGCTCTGTATATTTGATGGCGTCATAATGACTGATATTTTATTTACGCTTTCAAGATAAAATCATGTAAAGATCATGTATTAACTAGTTAAGAATTGAACTACTACGTGACTATACTCCTAATTAAAAAAGGAATTAATATCAGCTTCTTACTTGTAAATTGACTTATGGCTTAGTTATTGATTAATTACTGACAGGTATATCGACTAACTTGTATCTCGCTAGCGTTAACTAGCTATTTATTGATTTGTATGAATTAGATATTCATGCTCCATTGTATAATAGCAGCTAATGAAGGAGGCGAGAGTCAATTTACGGATGGATTTAAAGCTGTTGAGCAATTGAGGGCCAGCCATCCTAAATATTTTCAAACGTTGACAGAATTTCCTGTTCATCACAAAGATATTGGTACTGACTCTTATAATTTTAATCTTATGGCTAAACACCCAATTATCCGGTAATTGCATTGTCTAACAATGAATTACTATATAACTAGTTATTAAATTAACCTGATAAATAAGTTGCAAGTTTAAAATTACGATCTTTCTGTACTAGTGCCTAAATACGATATTAAAACTTAAGCTATTCGATATATCATAAAGTATATTTTACTCTTAATTCAGATTTATTAGCCAATAGTATTGCACAGCTTAGTTATTCTGCTTTGGCTCACTGAAATTATCTACAATATTTCATAAAAGTAACTTATTGGATATGACTATAATGGAAAAGTCTAAAAGTGATCTAATACGTATAAAGATTATATTGTATTAATATTCTTCTATGAATCTACATAAATATATAGATTAAATGAAAATGGAGATCTTAAACAAATTTGCTATGCTGATCATGCTCGAACTTCAAGAATAGATGTACCTCATTATAAATTGACAGACTTTTATAATGCTATGACGCAATTTTTAAGATATGCTTACAGTCCGGCTAATATTATACAATTTAAGCTGCAACCTGGAACTTTGATTTCTGTCGATAATTTTCGTGTTTTGCATAGTAGAATGGCTTTTGTCGTGTCTCCAGATAATTTTAGGCATATTGAAGGTGGACACGTTGATTGGGATGGAGCAACATCTTGTATGAGAGTACTAGAGAAAGAACTTAACATAGATTATAGAACTTCTAACATTTAGTTTGTTAGTTATAATAGCTAGAATAGAGTGTTGTTCGGGTATTGATAGCTCTATATGGATTCTAACTTAATATTATAAGACTATTCATGATTTCTAGCTATTTAAAACTTTTACATTCTAGGTTATCAAGTATATTTTATAGATCGGAAGTAGATTTTTAGTAAAATTTTTTTATTAAAATATCTGGTTTAACTTAACGCATACGTTATGTGCTTATTACTATAAGCACGGTTTAACTCAACCGTATCGGCTATTTGCTAACATTAATAGTTATATGATTGGTATAATCTCTAAGTTATATATGTTTGCCAGCGCTACTAGATTTACTTTATTTTTCTATCGAGGTATGCAACACATTTTTATTATAATAGTAGATGATGTTTGAAACAGTTTTACTAATTAACAGCAATTTCGGTGTTATTAGGCAATGTATGTTTCTTCTATCGTCAGTTCACTATATCTATCAGGTTTGTTGAATGCTTCTATACGATGTAGAAATACACGATTGACTTTGATGATATTTTTGTTATTAATAAAATTATATAAACTAGATAGATTTATTACATTATATTCCTACGCTTCGTTCGGAGTTAATTCGAATCTAAGATAAATCAAAGCAATTTCTATGCTTTGATTAAATGCTTTATTTATTATTTATATAATACATCGCATTTGTAAGAATTTATACAATTATTCTGAAGCATTAATCGGAAAATTATAGAAAGAAAATTAATTTAAATAATTATTTAAGAATAACACGATAGACTATAATTTGGCCAATCTGTAAGAAGATTATAACATGATATCCTTATTTCGCGTATTATCATTAACTATCAGTAAATTCGAGCATATACCGAAAGTTGAAAGTTCTGTTATAGTAGCATTATGATATTTATGCCATTACATATAATCTTAAATCTTAATTAGTGAATAGGCAACATAAATACTGCCTATGTTAATAATTGGATGCAGAGATTTCATAGGAAGGTTATTACAAGATTGTAGTAGTCAATGATGGAAATTATGTCGAGTTTCCGATATTTAAGTCTAACCACAATAGTAAGGGAGGGCAATATGACAGTATTAAAACTTACAAGTAGTAATACTAATAAGATTAATAATTATAATTTGGCATTTTCAAAAGAAGCCATTTTTAATGTTATTCAACAGGTATTAAACAAACGAGGATATTTTGGTAATTTTTTTCTATTTATAAATCAATTTGCGTTAGCAGATGTTCTAATTACACAGAAAATGTAGGTATCGCTAGTATTCGGAATACATCGGATCGTTTACATCTCATTATATCATATACACGTACGCATCATTATTAGTAGTTTAAAGTATATAAAAATCTACAAT